TTGGAGAAAGTCCTAGTAGTATCCAACATATTGAAGAAGTGTGTAAGAGACAGAAAGGTGAAGGTACTCCATTCTGGTGGGAGGTACAAGATGGACCTATTTCTGTATTGGAGCCGAGCTCACGGCATTTCGAGACACTTCGTTGGAAAGGAAATCTTGGGGCAACTAAATAGGGTGACAAATTTGGCGAACCGTGCCTTGCTGGAGGAGGATCAGTGTTTGTGATCGAGCAATGGTTTGCAGAAGAGTTTCTGGACAGAGGCTTCGACATATTTGGGTCATCCTGGGGGCCTTCCAAGGGGGCATCATTGGGAGGTAATAGGCGTTTGGTTTCCTTTGTTGGTGGCTGTTCTAAGCGTGTTTGGGTTGCAACCAAATCCCCTTTGGAGAAAGTCCTAGTAGTATCCAACATATTGAAGAAGTGTGTAAGAGACAGAAAGGTGAAGGTACTCCATTCTGGTGGGAGGTACAAGATGGACCTATTTCTGTATTGGAGCCGAGCTCACGGCATTTCGAGACACTTCGTTGGAAAGGAAATCTTGGGGCAACTAAATAGGGTGACAAATTTGGCGAACCGTGCCTTGCTGGAGGAGGATCAGTGTTTGTGATCGAGCAATGGTTTGCAGAAGAGTTTCTGGACAGAGGCTTCGACATATTTGGGTCATCCTATTAAAGAGTTGTCAATTGCTATGATTGGAGGTAAAACTCCATTAGAAGATAGGTCTGGTAGTGTCACTTTGGTTGAGGCTTCGATGAGGAAGCCAATTGACTCTCAGCAGGTGGAGAGTTTTGGACAGACCTTAGAGGTATCACAGCGGGTGGAGAGTGATGCTACTCCACATTGGGTGAAGATTACTCCAGATCATACTGTATTATTTGGAATTCCAGCTGAGGTGACACAGCGTGGGAGTCATTTGGATTCGGATGCGGATGATGAGTTGGATTTTGATTTGAGTGCAGCTGATAGATACAGTTTGGATATGACCATTGGTTCACCTCAGGTGGAGGTGTTTGAGGCCATTGGAGGTGCTATCAGTCGTAGACTTGATTGTGATGTTGGAGAAGGGTTGCGAACTCTTCTAGTGGATTGAGGCCTTTGGAGGCCATTTGGGTGAACTATGTTCGGCTTGATTCCGAACTCTTCTAGTGGATTGAGGCCTTTGGAGGCCATTTGGGTGAACTATGTTCGGCTTGATTCCTTGGGCAAGAGGATACGTAGGCAGTCTTATGATGCAGCCGGGTTGGATTTTTTGATGGGGGTGAGATCGATTTGGTGAGTTGATACTGACATTTGGAGAGTGTTTACATTCTCATTTGGGTTCTCGACTTGTTATGGATTGAGTCTGTTGTCGTGAATTGTTTCACGGTGTACTGGACACAACAAGTGAGGCATTTGGTTTGGTTGGTGTCGGCTCAGTTTTGAGAAAACTTCACCGAGGTGGAGAATTATTGGAACACGTGAGTGTGGAGGCCAGCGGTTCGTTTCCGCGTGAAGAGATTATTTCGGTGTGGGGACCACAAAATGTGTGAAAAAGCAAGGACACGTGAAAAAGATCCGGTTCTCTTGGATTCCGCGTGAAGAGCCTAAGAGACCAGCGGATTTTTTTTTGGCTGGTCCACCCGAAAACACAGCAGATGTCTATAAAAGCCTAGTTTCTAGGGTTTTTGGAAGGCGTGCCAAGTTGAGGGGTTCTTTTGGCGGCAGCAAAAGAAAAAGGCAAAGCTTGGAGGCGTGCAAGGGCTTGGTGAAAAGTGCAGAGGGCTTGGAGGCGCGTGCAAGAGTAGGCAGAGGGGAGAAAAACAAGTGCAGGCGGCTGATTGGGGCGTGTGAAGGAGTGCAGCAGTCAGCAATGGCGGCTTGGGTTTCGTGCAGGAATTGAAGGAGAAAAACAAAGGCTGCAGAGAGCAGGTGCGCAGCACAGGAGAAAGAAGAAAAAGTCAGCGGCTTTTGAGAGAGGAAGAAAGAGATTAGATTGAGGGTTTAATTGTGAGAGTTGTAAACCTATTTGTATTCTTTTTCTTTCTAGTAGATCCCCCCCCCCTCCTTACCCCGTGGACGTAGGCAGTTTGCCGAACCACGTAAAATTGATTGTTTGAGTTTGTGGCCATTGTAATAGTTTTTAGGATCCCTCGACAGGTCAGTCCTAGAACTGATGAGAGGAAGAGCCGATATCTCACTTGGTTGAGATATCCGCTTCAGATTCTTGTCTCCTTAGTGAGACGGGAATTCTTATTTTGATCTTTCTCTCTTATTGTGCACCAGAAACTCTGCCGAAATTTTCACTGCGCACAACAAAGGCAAGAAAGATGAATGAATAAAATCAAGAAATAAAACAAGAATGAAAAGAAAATTTAAGAAAGTTAAGATGGAGGATTCAAAAGAGGTAAGAAATCTAGAATATAATCCACTAACTAATTTCAATTACAAAATACAAACTATTCTCTTTTTATCATATTTCAACTTAGATTTATTAAGCATAGATTATCAAACCATTTAAGGAAAGTGTAACCTATCAAATTATCATCTAAGCTAAAATTACTATTCATGATAAGAACAACAACATGATAATAATCCTAGAATTCATAAGCATAACCTATCAAACCATTTAAGATAAGCATAGATTATCAAATTCTTCTTCTACCGATTAGTTCTCTAGTTGATTATCCTAAACATGAACATTTTAAGTACAAGAGAATAATTCATACAATATAAAAGAAATTAGACTAGTTTCATACAATTCTAAGATTCCTACAAGAATTAAATTCACATCTTAAGAAATAAAAACAAGAAAAAGAAGACTAATTACAAAATTAAAAAGAAAAGAAAAATCTAAACTATGAACAAGAAATAAATCTAATTACAAAGAAAATAAAAATCTAAACTACAAAATAAATTGCAGAAATTAAATGCAAGAAAAATAAATCTACTCTACAAATTAAAGTGCAAAAAGAAAATAAAAAAGACAAGAAAGACCCCTAACCCCTCACTCTCTACCCCTATTTATAATAATCTTCAATGAATATGAGCCATTGGATTTGTCTTGAGCCCCAAGCAACAATCTCCACCTTTGATTTATTTGATTTTCAAAAGAAAATAAAAATCCAAATCTTGAGCATCCCATGATTCTTTTGATTTTTTTAAAATCAAATGGTAGAACAATGACCGGCCCAATGAGATCTTCATTTGATTTTTAGCAAGTCCTTGGCCCATCCACTTCATTTGATTTTCAATTGATTTTCGGCCCATCCATGTGAATCTGCAGCAAGCCTCCAATGTTTGGTTTTCAAAACAATTCCAAGACCGGCCCATCTTTGTTAAAAGCCCAAAATCCGGTCTTCATTTAACAATGCAGCAGCTCCGTGATTTTTTTCTTTTTTTTTTTTTTGAGAAAAATCCAAGCAAGTCCGGTCTCCTTTGCATTAAATCCCATGTCTGCAGCATTCATTCGGCCCATTCAAGCTTCATTTGATTTTCTTTTGAAAATCAAAATCCATTTCTTTGGCCCTTGAGAGAAAAATCAGCAGCACAATTCATTTCAAGCAAATCATGTCCGGTTTTGTTTGTCCAGCCCACTTATGTTTGCAGCACACAAGCAAATCCGGTTTTGTACTCTTTGCATAAAAGTCAATTTCATTCCACTCTTTGCATCCAAGTCTATTCCATTGTTTTTCTTGGTGTATTTATTTTTCTTGATGGGCTTTGGCTTCAAAAATGCTACAAAAAAGAGAAGAGAGATTTTTGAGGGGTTTTTACATTTAATAATATTTATTTATATTTTCATTCAATTATGTGCAAACTAATCTAACAACAATTATTAATGGTATATTTATTCATGTAAAATAGATAACGATGATATAAAATTGTAATAAAATGTGATTATCACTCATTGAATCGAATCGTTTAGCACGACCCCCCGACGGCATGAAAAACTCTGGCGATCGATTTCCTCCCTCCTCTCAAGCTACATGGTCTCTCCCCCCAGTCAGCCCCTGGCCCCGCTTCCCAACCCCCAACAAGACCGTTGGCCTCATCCGCATCCAACCCGACCCGCTAACCTCCCTCTCCATTTTCGACCACGCTCGCCTCATCCGCATCGAAGCTCCGCTACGGCGAGCAACTCTTCATCACCCTGATCAAAGCCTACGCCCTCGCATCCAAGCCCACCTCATCTCGCAAGACGTTTACCGACAGTGGCAAGAAGAGGAGCTGCCTCCTCACACGTTCACCGACGGTGACGGCTTCTTCTCGTCGCCGCCTCCGCCCAATTTCGCTGAGGTTTGAGCCTGAGAAGAGAGGAAAGAGAGAGAGGGGGGGCTGGTAGTTTTTGGGTAATGAGGTTAAGGGTAATTTTGGAATTTGTAAAATTTTTTCTCACTGTGGTGTGTTGGAAAGGTAAACAGGGGTTGAAACACAAGTATTTTATGTATTGGGGGCTTTGTCACCCAAAAAATAATACAGGGGGCCTAGTCATAACAGATTTTTTATTTTGGGGCCTTAAAACATTTTTCCCAAAAAAATTTGTGTCGAATTTAATTTAGGAGTACATGTATATGATTAGAAAAAAAATTCATAGAAACAAATAAATTCAGATATATTAAAAATCAGAATCCTAGACTAAACTAATGATGCGGGTTCAGTTCCCACTGCTCACCCTGTATTTTTTAATTTTATATGTAAAACTTACCCGTACTTGCCCGAACAAAATACTTGTATATAAAAAGAGGATAATTAGTAAAAAAAGAAAGAAAGGTGGGGGTACATCCCATCCCAACCCGCATCGCCGTCGTTCCTCTTAATATTGCAGGGCCCACCCACCACAGCAGTCGGAGTTTGTAAGTCGTCTTCTTCTTATTACTCCTTAATTGTTTACCCGACGTTAATTCAATATTCGTTCTAAAATGGATAAAACCCTAATTCCTCTCTCTCTCTCTGTCTCCCCCTCCCTCCTTCCTCTTCTTTATTTTTAACGTTTCCCTTGGTTTCCTCTCATCATTCGAGCGCCGCCGATGGCATCTACTCATCATCATCAAGTAGTCGTCGAAGAACAAGGGGAAGGAGTTCCGGATCGAATAGGTACGCTCCTACGCCTTCCATCATCTAACAAACTTCTTCTTCTGATCTTCTTCTTATGAAATATATAAAATTAGAACAAATTATTGTAAACAGTTGTTCCTCTCCTTTTCTTTCTGTGCCTTCCGCTTTCTTTCAGTTTCAGTTTCTCCTTCCCTTTTATTATTAGTTATTAATTTCTCTTCTTCTTTAATTATAAATAAATAACTCCTGTTTCGTTCAATCCATCCCCTCCCCCCAATTCGATTCCCTTTTATCCATTTGTTTTCTTCTATTTCCTCTTCACTAAAACTTCCTCGTCGTCTTCTTCGGTTACTCGACTCTCCTTCAAGGAGCGTTTCTATCGATACCCCCTCCCTCCCTCCCTCCCTCCTAAATAAATAAAATGAAGCGGTTTTTGAAAGAATAATTTTTAGGAAGAAATCAGGTCGGTTAGCGTTTCTCCGCCTCGTCTCAGGATTCGAGATCTGCTGCGATCAAGGTTTTGCTTCCATCCGTCTTCCTTCTCTGTATTTTTCTCCTTCTTCTTCTTCTTCTTCTTCTTTTTTGGCTCTTCTTCTCCTCAGCTCTCCTCTTCAATCTTTTCATAATCAAATTTAATAATAATAATAATAATATAGAATAATTTGCGACTTGCCAAATATATGGTTGGACTTATCCGTGGTCTCGAGACCATCCGTTCCCTCGTCTATATGATACCTTCATGGCACTTGGATTCTTTTTCTTTCTAGTAAAAGTTCAACAACCTTTGCGCTAGACTTCTGTTTCTATTCCCAAACAAGAGTCTTAACCCTGATGCATGAGCGCCTAGTCCAGTTTATCGGTGTCAGAGGCTTACTGAAGGAATCTTTTTGAGGTTCATTATATATAAATATTAAAGAGTTATCCGACCATTGGAAAACAACTTTTGTTCTGTAGATTCCGACCTTACGGTTGTATCCTATACATTATAGTCTATGACTATTGTTTTTCCTTATTAAATTAAAATGGTTGGCATCTCATCAGATAAACCTTCACGAGATTTTTAAAATCCCGTGAAGCTTTTAAACTTTTGCAACTTCATTAGCGTGGTTAATCAGGCACTAAACTTCACGGGATTTTAAAATCCCGTGAAGCTTTTAAACTTTTGCAGCTTCATTAGCGTGGTTAATCAGGCACTAAACTTCACGGCTCATGAAGGTTTCGAACTTTATTTGCCATTATCGACTAAGTTTCAGCCACCTGGCTGAAACTAGGTCGAAAATGGCAAATAAATTTCAAATGGGTCGTTTTTTAAAAAATAAATTCCTAAAGGGGTCTATTTTGAAAATTTGTCCTATTTCTAATTGCCAATGTTTCTATGGCTATTTAGTAAAGCCACAAGCAACAGGTCCTTCTCTTGCAAATTGGTTTTTGTTGAAGAACACAATTATATATCTAATGATAATGATTATAGGTTCAGAATCAAGCCGGTCAATCAATTATGTTGGAGGTGGTCCTAAGAGATATTGTTACATTTAAGAGAACTGTTCCATTACTTATACAATAAATGCATTTGGTTTATGTACTTGCATATTTGTTTGTTTAGACCAAATGGAGCTGTTGAACGCATCGCCAGTAGGTGCGAAAGAAAAACCAGCCAGTTCAGAGAACTTGATCGAGCAGGTATCTGCATTTTAGGCTGCCATACTTTTCCATATATCTGGTATCAAAAGTATACTAGGAGATCCTGAACACATTACTTGCCTGACAGACACTTTCTGTTAAAGATGAGAAATTGGTTCCCGATAATGTTTCACAAGATGCAAACAATGTGGATGCGTCAAGGGATACTTCATCTCAGCTGGGACCTTTGGATGGCAGTAGAGACTGCAGTGATATTAATCAAACCGTTGTCTCTGCACCTCAAGCACAGTCTGCCTTAAGTGGAGGTTAGTTTGTATTTTACTTCTTCGGGACCTGCTCGTTTATATTAATTAAATCACTGAAGATATGGTTCTATGCCTAGCATGTTGATGTTTTCTCATTAGTGTTTGTCTATTTTTGTATAAAGAATCTGCATTAATATTAATTACACAATAGGTAGACATATTTCACTTGTATAAATGAAGTGCATATGAAATGCAAAGTACAGGAAATAATTGTAGGCATCCATGGGAGGAAGCTTTTAGTGATGTTATCCTTTATGAGCTCACCTTACTATTTGGTTAATCTATATCCTTGTATTTTATTTCCTAACCAATCTTCAACCAGTTGTTTCCCATGCAGATTCCTAATTTCTCACCCTTTTTCATCTTTCTTGTAATAAGTTGCTTTGAAGCCCTTGATTTAAGGCTAAATCACCATAAACTTTTAGCACTTTTGTAAACTACCAAGAACTTGCTTTATTATGCTTAACTACCACAATCTTTGCTGGACGCTACAGAGTCCCTGATGGCAAGATTTGTATTTGCAACTTGTTGACCTTTTAATCACGTTGTATAATATTATAGGCCCTTTCCAAAATAAATGAAGGTAAATAGGCCATGTTTCGATTGGGTACTATTTTGAGTTAATAAGCCTTTATCCTCTAAAATGAAAAAGTGGTGTATTTGGTTCAAAATTTTGGAAGGAATTAACCCGTACTAATTAATCCTTTAAAAAGAAATGGTCTACAGCTTCCAAACTAAATAAAGGAAAAGATTTTTTTTTTTTGTGGGGGGGGGGGGGGGG